TGATGAAATTATGAGATAATTTATATGATTGTTGCAGAGAAAATTAATAAAGTGCTTTAGAATAAGGTTCTGATTAGTTGGGCGTATTTTAGTGGGTCATTTTAAGAAATTGATATATAAGAAAGGGAAATGCTACAATCTCGTTACGGAACCATTCCGTCAGGATTTGTAACCGTTAAATCATCATATAACCGTCAGAGATAGTTGATTTAACAGTTACAAATCTCGACAAAATAGTTCCGTAACAAAACCGTAGCATCTTCCTGTGAAAAGAATATTGAATGGGATCGACACGGAAAAGGGGAGGTTTTGATGGGAAAAGTGGGAAGAGAATATATTCACACAGCAATTTGCTGTTATTATCATGCAAGGTGGTTTCATACTTGAATAAAAAAAAAATATGAATTTTTGTACCAAAAAAAAAAAATATATGAATTTTGTGGGTTATTAAATAGAGTTACTCTGTTTTGTCGGTTTGCCAACTAGCAGGGCCGGCCCTGGGCCAAAACAGCCTGGGCAACGGCCCAGGCCCAATACGTGGGAGGGGCACCGGCCCATGTAGTGTACTCTGCCTATATGCATATTACTCTTTAAATAAGGTGGAGACTTATCAAACAAGTATTTATTGTTCACTCTCCCCAACTTTTTACCACACTATTCCACACGTTTACTTTTTGTATTTTCTATAACATATTTCTCTCACCCACAACAAAACCACCCAACATACTCAATCATTTATTTATCCCTCCCTATTTAAAGTTAATTATTATTACATAAAGTTATATTACCCTTTATACATAATTATCTTACTTAAATAATTCATATTATTTGGTGTTTGACAATTAGAATTAATTTATAGATTATATTTAATTAACTTTTTAAAAAATTTCAATGAGGTTTAATGTTGTTTTGGTAAAAAATTTAAATATATTTAATATTTATTTTGTAATTAGTTATGGTTGATTTGTCATTTTTATATGTTTTACCATTTTTTAATTATGTGTTGTGAGGTTATTTGTCTTATAGCTCAAACATAACGATGAGTTAATTAAAGAAAATTAATAATACTACAACAATAAATTTATATTATTTTATGTATTTAAGATAATTGATTATAATAAAATTATAATTTTATTTATTAATGATATTTAGTTAACATGTCATCATTTTTGAACTACTAAACAAATCATTCTTATGACATATAAAACCACTTAAAAAGTGAACCATGTCAAATTTAGCAACTACTTAATATCTGCAATTGAAAGATAATACATAAAATTCTGATTATGGTGATACAACTAATATTTTTTTCGCTAAAAATTGTAACGAAGCTTTGCAAGCGATTTTGCTAATACTATATTTTTGCCCCTAAAAAGGGTTTTTGTTGGTCAATTTGTTATTTAATGTGCCAAAAATTTATATTGAGACATTATCATTTTGTAAAAGCACTCAAGATTTTATCTATTGGAACATGAAAGTGTGTCATCAACTTTTTTATACGTGATGAATTGTGAACTATTTTAATGATATTGTGCTTTACACAACAGATTTTATAATTTAATATCTTTAGCAAAATAATTTTTGGAGCATTGTTGATATTATATAAATACTCTAGTATTTTTATAAAATAATGTTCAGGACCGGCTTTGCCAACTAGTTTACTAAATTGTTTGTTCACAAATTTGGATTAATGTTGTTTTAATAATGTTCATAATGAGAAGAGTTACATATGATTGTAGTGTGTATTTTCAATAATATAATCTACAAATAACTAGTGTAACCAATACAAAGGTTGTAATATAAACAATATGAATCACAATCTACTTTACATGATTAAAAGTTATAATACAGTATCATTTTGTTCGCATAAATATTAATAAACTAATATATAAATATATATTCATAAATTACTGAACACGTTCTCATAAAAATATTTTTATTTAGATTATTTGATTTATATTTATCATAATAAAGTATTCTTAACACTAGAAAATTTGTACTTAGTTTCACTAATCGATTTGGTTCGGCCAAACCGACTCATAACTTGGTCAATTGGGATGCAAACCAAGTTGCATCATGTGTTTTTACTATGTTACAAATTGACCCATATCGCGCTCCTCTCTCAACTTCTTTAAAACCCAACTCATGTTCATCGCATGGTTGACCTCCAAAGTTTTTTCGAAGGCGACATCCTTCTCATTTTTGGCCATCTTAGCTTGCTCTCTCTCTGCCACTATTGTTGCCTTCTCTTCCTCCAAGCCGGTTGACCTCGCGAACTCGACTTCAAGACCACGTTGAGCCTCCCCAAGGTGATGATTTAGTTCAGTGATGACTTCTGTCAGCTCACTCAGTTCGGTCACCTTGGTTTCAATACGGCTCTGGACGTCGCCTTTTCTTCGGCCGCCTTAGCCACGGCGGGCATCCATATGCCAAATCTGATCGACATTCTCATCTTCTAGCTCATGGCATCGCCCACCGATTCGATTCATTGCCACATGCTCCAGATTCAACCGCTCGTTCTCTTTTAGATCGACTTTCCGCTTAGTCCACAACGTCTTGAAAACATCTATCAAGGACACCGTCCGATCCAACGTGTACATTAGGAAGTCATTGCCACTGCCATGTTAGCGTTGATCCACTGTATAATCTTGGTCAGGCTCATATCATCGCCCACCATTTTTTCAAATGCCAAGAACCAGGCCCTCAACGGTATGCAGGCAGCACTGGCTGCGTGCACGTCCAACCCATCCGAATTTAGTACCTCACGGGCCAGCAGTGGTGAAGCGCGAACCACTGCATCCGGTGACCTCGAAATCTAACTTCCCAAGCCGACGTTGTTGGGTCGCGAGGCAGCACGCCCATGACAATGCCCTATTGTGGCGGCACGCCCTATTCGAAGGTCGAACTATCCCCTCCCTCAATTGATGCCTTGGACGTTGTTGGGTCGAGAGTCAGTATTCCCGTGACAATGCCCTTTTGTGGGGACACGAACTATTGGGATTGACCTGGGTCACTTTCAACTCCAGTACTGCATGTATTGCTTCATCACGCAGGAGAGG